CGGTTTTAAATAGCACTTGCGGTGTTGGGGAATCGGTAGGTAAGCCGAGGTCAGTCGACGCTTGCTCAGAACATGGACCATAACGGGGTCTCCTCGCAGTGCGTGGGCACCGCGGCGACTCAAAAATCCAAATATTTTGTCCCCGTGGTCTGAGCCGTCGCTTTTGGTAGCGGTGCCCAGGTCCTCAGCTGGCGGGCACGGCTGTAGCTCCGAGCCTGGGGGCTGATGTGAACAAGCGTTGGCTTCAGCGAAAGGTAATCGGCTGTCAGTCAAGGCAGCTGAACTGGTGTAACTGGGTTCTGGGAAGGCTGTTCAGACCAACAATTGCCAACTGAGGGTAGAGGCGAATATTAGCCAAAAGTAAGTTTATGTTTGTAAAGCACAGTAAGCAAAGCACCAAGGCAATCACAGAAAGAAGCAGAAACTTCTTCCTGCTCGGATATCGCAGCTGCCGGGTGAGGAGCTCTGTTTTCTGAGGCACAGATCATTGCCCTCCCCAGCAGCTCCTTCAGGCACGGACCGCTGCGTTTTTAAAGAAATAAAATAAATATGTGGAATTCTTCTAGAAATACTGCTACAGTAGGCAGTTTCAGTCAGAAAAGCATGTGGCTGAACGTGATACTCAAGCAAGCGGCACAGCTCAGACTGCAAAGGGGCTTTGCCGTATTGTGCCCAGCACGCCTCAATTAATCAACATGCTCGGTCAAAGACTGCTTGCCCTTATCAAGAACAGCAGACTACAATAAGTTTGGTAATTCTAGGCCAAGCATTTCTTCTAAATTTTTTTTTTCATCTTAAAGCCAAACAGGTTTTGGCACAATCCTCAAAAAGTTCTTCTATACTGTCTCCCCTTTCCTTTTAGGACTCTCATAAAATCTTTTGCTCCTTTCTTCATGGTATTTCTGTGAAGCTATTTTGGCATAAGCTCACGCATTTAACCTTTCAAAGAAACTGGTTTAGCTCTGGGAGCAATCATTTTTACATTTAAAAATAGTAAAGGAATTAAAAGCTGAAAGTTTGAGACATTAAAAATCTATGCATTCTATAAAACATAATTTATATTATAATTGTTTGTCACATGGTAACATAGATTCTGATAAGGACAGCAGAGTAAATCTGCAAAAGCAAACCCTTTACTTTGGCATTATGAACCCACATACTTTCTATTAACATTAATTTTTACTAGATTGTTCGAAGATTATGGTTTGTTATTAGCATTTAATACAGTAAAAATCTAAGTAAGCATATTGAATTACTTAGCTAGTTTTATTGAAAAGGAGGGAATGAGGAAGTGCTTAGCCATCATATTTCAGCCACCACTTCGGATGAAATTTGTCAAGTATCTCCACCAAGAACAGTCTACGTAATAGAGGATTTCAAGTGATCTTCCCAGGCCAATGGAGTGGGAAACATGAGAACAAAAGACAGCAGCTCAGATATATTTGCAGACAATGAATGTGGCTTTTTACTGTGTTTCAAGTGAAGATGCCCCAGTAAATAATTCTGCACCCTACTTGTTCTGACAACATTCCTTCTCTTGGGTGTTGCAATTCAAATTCCAAATTTTTATTTTGGATAAAAGACCCAAGTCGTAACCCAGAGATCACTACAATACTCATTTTTTAAATGTCTCTCTGACCTTACTTTATTTCCCACGTATTAGGGCAATTTAACATTTTATTCTGCTATCTGCGTACAAACTGATATTTTAAGCTCCAACATTGAGCTTTTAAAACGTTGAGGCTTTTTCATTAAATAAGCCTAAACCCAAATGAAAACATCTGTATTTCAGTTTCCTCAACTGCTTTAACAGAAAGAATGGAACTTCTAAACAATAAACTATCGCACAGTTTGCAATTGGGTTTAGTCAGTTTCTTCACCTTGCCCCAACACACTGTGAAGCATTTGATAGTTCCGTATTAATGCAATTTGTTTTCTGATAGGATTAAGTACTTTTAATACTCCCGTGACTCCTAATGTCAGCATTTACTTCAGCTGTTATAACCGAGCAAGGTAACTGTCAATGAAGTATATACTACAGCCTCTTCGTGTGGTTACTTGTACACTAAAGCCATACAAATCTCATGGGGGTGGGGAAAAACTGCTTACCCTCCTCAACAAGAAGAGAGAAAAGTGAGTTAAGATAAGCTCCTTCTAGATTTCAGGGACATGTGTTGTTTTATTTTCTTTCTGTAATTTGCCTAGATTCCATTTGCTGATTTTGATACGTCAAACCATGTTTCACTGCACAGCTTTTAGGATATTAACTTCAGCAGCCAGCTTCACAAAGAAACACCTTTGTAACCTCTCAAAAAATGCCTTTTTGTGTGAGGGGCTTCACATATGTAACTGTGTACTTCTTTCTACCATACAAGGAACAGAACAGCATTATTAGGTTTTAAGATAAAAGCAGGTAAACACATCACTTCTTCGCTACTGCATTAGCTTGTTACTCTAACATTTGGGAGGGAGGGTGAAGGGAGAAGACAGAGGGTGAGACAGGGAATGAGTCGCTAGCCGGTTTTCCATCTCCCCAGATTGAAATTATTGAAAGAAAAAGAAAAAAAGAATAATCCATTTTTACTTACTTTTCATCATACACTCTGAATTAAGTTAGCAATTAATTACAAGGATTGCATCAGTAGCAATCAACACATTCACTCAATCCTTCTGAAATATATTCTTAAGTCACTATAATGAATATTACTGAGCCTTTAAATCCTACAAACGTTTCATAAGCAACAACTTCTTAAACTAGAAATTAAGAAATTAAGAGACCATGAAGGGGAGTAGTTTTATAAAATATGTTTATTTCATAACTATTACATGTGTTACAAACTAAAGTGTTTTTAAGAATTTTTCAAAGTCCTGTATAGAAGCTTTGGCAATCTCTGTACAAAACACCTCATCAGGCAAGGACACTAGCTGGTCCAGAGAGATGTAGCTGGGTTGTGCTGGGTCATACTGCGCTCTTCCCAAGAATGTAAGAAACATATGTCTCTCTTTGATTCGCAATAGCTTTGAGTTGAAAACCTAAGAAAGAAAGGGAGGGAAGAATGTTTTAGTTGCCTAAATTTCAGACGCTGATGAATCTAAAATAAGAGCATTTTTCAGACAAACTGAAGATCTAGGAAGAAAAATAATTTGCACCTTTTCTTCCCATTTATGTCAAAGACCAGGTAGGTTACATTTATATACAAATTACCTAAATTCTAAATAAATGCTTCAATACAATACGCTGACGTATACACACAAGGGAAATCAGGGAGGGATACAACTCTCTAGCATGTTAGTTTTTTTTCTTTATATATGATAATAATCGTATAATCACAGCTAAGAAAGCGGAGAGGAGACATTCAGAAACAGGGAGCAAGAATACCCAAGCGTTTCCCCTATACTATCGGAAGCACTTATTTACACAGCCAGATTCAGGTGAGGATTGTCACAAGGAAGAAATGAACAAGTGACCACATGGCGCAACAGAAACGAGTGAATCGCACAGTGGCAACGGAAAAGGTGAGTGGCTGCACCTCCTGTCATAACACAGCCAAAAGACACAGTTCAAAACAACCACTGTCTTCTGTTGCCCAGCAATGCCTGCCTTTGATGATATCTGCCACAAAAATAATTCTAGACAGTCAAAAACAAGAACAATGGTAAGGGAAATGTGAAAAAAAATCAGTGGAACATCTAAAAAGAGAGAAGTGAGGAAGACAAGAGATGCACAATTAAGTCTTAAAAGCAGAGATCTAACTGAATTTCTGAGCAGAAGAACTGAAGAGAGAGACACTGCTTTAGAGAAGGTAATGGCAAAAACATGAACACTAGAGCAATGAAAGCAAGCAGAGCTTACTAAAAAGGACAGACTACACTACTGAAGGAAGGATTTCACGAGGGTGCAAACTAATTTGAACTAGGACAGAAAGCAAGACTACTGTTCCTCCTCTGCCTTCCCTGAATTTTAAGAGGGAGTCAGAAGACAGGGAAAAATCCTTAACCACTGTTTATGGAGCTAGGTGACAGGAAGGATGGTTACAACAGCAGCTGTAACATCAGAAACAATTTGACAAAAAAATCCTGTATGCGTCTTATTTTCATCAGTACTGTCATTCAGGGTAGAAGCAAGAAGAGATGGAGACCTGTATGCATTTGTGAATGCACAAAGTTAATGGCCAGACCACATACAGACTGAGTTGTGCTAGCCATGTGCTGGAACTCAACAGGTTTTGAGGATGGAAGGGAAGAACAGGGAAAAGAGAGGGTGACTGCGCCAAGAACAAGGAACAGAGGAAACTCTCCGCTTACTCTTCCAAACAAAGGGAAGAGAAATAATGAGGTGAGCCACCATGAAGCCAACAGTAAGGTAACTGAGAAACAAATGAGCAAGACTTGTGGTCCCTTACAGGTCAAAGAGGGCAAAAAGTGACATATGGATTAGAATTATAGCAAGCATCCTTGGTAAGTAAAGATATATTAAATAGCAAGATAAGTAATCAAAATCCTGGGGAGTGGTTTTATTTCCCCATATAATTTTGGCTTTTTAGCCAGGTAGATTAGAGAGATTCCCTACTAGACTTGCTTTAGGAAGAAAATTATTGCACTTCAGAGGTTGTAATTTGTGCTTTCTTTTTTACCTTGTAAGAAGCTAGTGTGACTGCAGGTCAGCATTGGCTGAAGTGACTAATGCTTTCAACTTCTAATTTGTGAGGAAATAACAATAATGAGGAGATAGAAAAAACAAAAACAGTTATCACAAAACTAATCTATTTTCACTCCTGTGATTTTTTTAGTTATTGCTGCAGCAATAGGAATATCAATGGATAGAACTTCTCTTACCTTTAAACTATATTTTCAGATCCTAGAATCTAAGAAATTTATTTGTTAACTAGACAAAACCAAAAGAAATAGTTTTATATTATCTAACAAACACATCTTCTGCATGATCTGTCTTCCCTTGTGTCTCATAGCTAGGTAAGATTTCAGGACAAGGAATCCCTAAGCAGGCAGTAATCTCCCTTGCACGAATCCAGAAGACATGAGCATGACTACTTCTGTTGAAAACTTAAAAATTCACAAGACTGGGAGTGGTGGTGTCACATGTGCCAGAAGTGCCATGTTCCACTTCCACACCGGAATCCTCAATGGTTGCCGAAATGCTAATAAAAGTTATCCCAGTTAGAGTAAAAGCCACAGACAAGTTGAAGAATTCATGCATGTCCTGCATATAGCGAGGCTCCACCTTCAGCACCAAACCAGTGAAGCGGCTGTGCAAAGAGCACCTACAATTTATTCCCAAGTTAACAGCTCACCTGAGGAAAGCGAGTAAGCATGTTGTGAGGAATACCCATTATGTTGTGTAAGTAGTCAAATGTCTGTTTGAGTCTCTTTTTACTTGCAGTTAAAATCTTGGGGGTTTTAAACACAATCTGTTGAATTTCATTACGTTGAAAACCAAGTTCAATCTGACAAACCTGCAAAAGAACACAATTTTTATCTTCAGAAGTCAGCTACAGCAAACTTCAACTTATTTTAACGTGCCACTGAAATAAACTAATGCAAAATTCTTCTACCCTTTGTCACAGAGCAATAAGAATGCAACCCACAATATCTGCCACTCCAGTTCTTCTCAAGTAAGACTGCAAATTATTTTATCATTTTGGATTAAAGTGTAATTTGTTTATAGAGTATCCCTGAAGCAAAGATGACTTCTGTGAATGCTATGTGTTTTTCAGCTTGTCCGAGATATGAACACGAAAAGCTGTGTCTCAGTATGCACGGCAGTTGCAAGCATAAAAGTGCTCCCCTAAGAGTCTTTCATCAGTTTCAATACCAAGCTGTCAAAAGAGACTGATTTTCTAGTTGTGGAGCTGTTGAGCTCTGCAAAACAGAGCAATCAAATAGCTAGTGACTACTTTTGTTAATGTGTTATTTCTTTTGCTAATGTATCCAAGTTATATTTTTTATATTAGGGAGTATAATTCCAGTCCTGTAGTTTTCAACTGAAGTCTGTTGAACCTGAAAGAGAGGTGTAGAATATCCAGCGTATTCAATTTATTTTTACAGTTGGTTAATGTCTAAAGTAAGACGTCTTTTTCGGAGACTGCCTTGACTTCAATTATCGTTTCCCAAAAGGAAAACAAAACACATTTTTTCAATAAAATCATGAGCACTCCTCCCAAAGTGCAGAATGGCAAGCAGTTTATTAAGTTGTTGAGAAAGGAATTCAGCATACAAGAGTGGTCTGGTAACTCAGCCATTTCTTCTATCCTCCAGTGACATTTACAAGCAGCTTGTTTTCAGTCATGAAATGGGTGTGCTTGCCAGTCAACATAACCAGACTTTCACATCCAACTCAGGTACTTCTTCAGTTAGCAAAAAAGTGACGCTTTTTGTTTTTCCAGTTTGATGTGCCAAGACTGCAGCTCTTTTCCAAAACTGCCTGGCAAATACAAAGGGAAGGGCTTCGAATCTGGGTTTTGAAGCTACCTTAGGACTTCCAGATCCTTACAGGGAATTGTTTCTAGAGGTGACTATAATCAGCTCTTTCAACTCCTGGTTCTTCCTTATCTACTTTATAAATATCACAAGAAATACTAATCAACTAAGACAACATTCAAGTATGAAAAGATGTATTTGCACTTTAGTGGTGTCTTCCATGGATCTGAGTTGGCAGGGGTAACTTACTGCATTAAGATACGTAATGGAGAGTAAGACGTGATGTTAAGTCAGTGAAGTATAGCTGGCCCCACTGTAGAGGCAATTGTGGCACAGATCTTGAGCTTTTCTGCTCTGTGAAATGGAACAGCTCTCTATTGACATGAATGGTGAGCTCAAGTGTAAGTTGCTTTGACTGCCCTCAGTTTGACACCAAACGTGTTTAATATTCTGTAACTCTCTAGAGCACATATGCCAACATCCTCACTGTGTAAGCCCCAGCAATATTCAACATCTTCTGTACGATTCCCGCAACAGGCAGTGCTAATGCAAGCTTTCCAGTGTTACCCTGTCAGTAAATCTCTAATTGTGCCTGATGAAACCTTCAGAGGATGGATAAGCCATCCTTCAGCTTGTTTAGTCCATAACTGGTATCTTTTGACAATCAGTATCGTCTGCAGCAGTTGTTTCTAAATAACAGCCCACTCAGAATGAGGGATGTCACCAGATGACTTCTGAACTGCTGGTATATGGTTTCGCTTTCCGAGTACTGCCTGCCCACCAACAGCTTAGGACATATAGGTCTGAACCCAGATTCTGAGTCCGAGATATCCAACCTCCTGAAAGGCTGGAGCTTCTCTGTATCAGTAGATTCTAACGGCAAGGACCTAAAAATCCTTCTGCTGTCTCTCAAACATGCCAAAACCAAGGATGCTACACTGTGCACTTTTTTGGTGGATAGACAAGAAAGTTGCATAGAACTGAGGATCTTAAAAAACACATTCATTATACTGAATCCTTAGCCTGTGGAAACAATGTTCATTAAAAAGAAAGCACTATTAATTGGAACAGTCTGCTACTTTCCAGTCTCCTCCCTTACCACACACACATTTCAGATTGCAAGATTCCCAGTGTTTAACAGTTTCAGAGCAGTGAGTCTGTCTGAAAATTATATATTTTAATTCATAGTTATGCATTATAGGATAATGGGATTTCTCAAATTGTTACACTACATCACGCTGTTTGGCCTAGATGGCTTTACAGCACAATAATTAAACCAATACATAGTTACATTTTCAAAGGGAAAGGAGTCCCTGTGGGTTTGAAGTTATTTTCCCAACAGTTGTTAATAACGACCATCTGCTATCAGACAATAGGTGTCAAATGCACAGTTTGGCAGCCTAGCTACCTGCCAAGAGGAAAATAATCAACTGCACATTTCTTGCTCCTAAATCCTCATGGACAATCCAAGTCAGCAAAAAAACATAATAATTAAAGAGGGGAAAAAAAAAAAAAAAGAAAGAAAGAGGGAGCAGGCCCTATTTTTCAGTTATAAAGAAATGGATAGCATCAGATAGCAACTTTTGGCAGGAAGGGACCCAGATGAAAATTTCTAACCTACATCACAGTGTAAGACAGAGTAAGATACTGCTCCACGCATGCTGTAAGCTTGCAAGCTATGGAGAAAAATAAATTGTTTAACAAAACCCTCAGTTATTTTATATCTCCATTAAAATTATTTCATTAAACTCTTTCTGTGCAGGATTCTTCTCCAGGAATTTTATCTTCTGACAACCCTTAAACTCTGTGGCTACACAATACACTTTTAATAGCTACTAAGCTGACCTGAAGATTTTCTTTTACAGGCTCCAATTTGCCAGTCAGTAGCCTTGGAAGACGAATCACCAGATCCTTTGTCTGCAATTAAGGAAAACACATAAAGGAAAGATGATTACCGAAAGTTTGTTTGTGAGTCCATCTGTGAAAGAAAGATAGAGATCTCACATAAATTTTTCTTTTTTCCAAGTTGGAAGAGGGATGCACTTTTACTTTTATTTAATTTTATCTCTACCTCAAAGATGAGTCTGCATGAAGCAGCAGTATACTAAGACGCAAAAAGTTACTCAAATATGTTCTTCTGGAAAACCAAAAATAACATAGCTGTGGTAAAACAGACAGGAAGAGGGAGTAAGCATAACCCAAAAGGAGAAAGCATGCTCAAGTGCCCAGTCTCTTAGTGCTCAAGCTGCTACTTCCCACATTTAAAAAAAAAAAAAAAAAAATTATGTACCTGATGTAGGCTACAAAAGGATTTTTTCAGCTGCAGTGGAATTTGTCTACCTCAGGATCTGGTTAAACCATAGTATTATGGTAATACAAGAAATTACTCTCATCCCCTGAGCTATGTGATTACTTGTAATACGCCCCAAGTACAAGGCAGGGACTAAACCCTTTCCAGAGAGATCTCTTACCTCAAGCATGGAAAGGCCAGCAACAGGCACTGTGACAGCTACGACTGCTCAGCAAACAGAAGCCAACAGAAAACCACCAGATTCCACTTAGAACTTGACATTCACTGCAATCCCCAGCTACTGCAGAAAACAACTAACACTGCCCACTTACTCCAGGGAAGTCCAGCTAATACCTCCTCTCAAGATCCCGAAGCATGGTGCTAAATACCCACTAAGCACATGATGTGGTAGGCACTCATGAGCAAACCCAGGGGTTACTCTTGGCAAGCTAAGCACGTGATCTGGCATTTAGTTTGATATGATAATCACAGATTAAACTATTTTTCACCAATGGGTTAAGTACGTTCCAGTATCTTGAAGAAATGAAGAGACCAATTAGTTTTCCAGAAGTTAAAAAAGCTGCTTGCTGTTTCAGCAATGGATTCAGTCCTCTGACCACCTCAGATAATAGAGCTGGACACATACATGCTTGTTTGATAATAACCTGCAGCAAATCATCTTCAGGAACTGTATTTCATGACCTTAGAATGTCAGATGTCCACAGTACTTCTATAGAGAGTTAAAATCATGTTATCCTCCTGTAACCCTCTTTGTTAGTTAGTAATGTCACTAACGTTTGTGGATGACATCCAGACACTTGAAGTATTCATGTTGCGAGGTCTCACAGCTGTCACCAACAAAGTACCTACAGACTTCAGTGTACAGTCTTTACCTTTTTTACACTGAGATCAAGTTCGTTTTTGAAGAAACCCAGTCTATTATCCAGTCTTTCCACTGAAAACAACAGCAAATATGGAGCTCTTGAGACCATCTGAGCAATTTCTGCCTTACCAAATTTTTTTGATTTTAGGTAAGCCACTCTAGAAAGAGAACAAAAACAAAATAAAATACAGTGATGAAAATTTTATTGCCTCCATTTATTCAGTACTTGCTTAAATTCCTCAGTGATATCTTATAAACAGACAGATGTTCTAGCATTAACATGCAACCCTGCCAAAAATAATTAGGGGGAAATCTGCAGTTATCATAAAAGCAAAATACCATCCCTTCCAATTAATTAGAAGTAAAATAAACCTCAGAGCAGAATGTCAATACTGAAGACAGATTTTAATTCCTTCCAGCTGTACTTAAGCAGATAACTATGTTAACCTACGTTTAACTACCAGCCTGTCTCCTAGATTGCAAACACATTAATAGATCATCATAGGGTATGGACAAGAAGATATATACAGCCTTTTGCTATTTTAATGAATTCCATTTCTACTGTTGAAAGAACAGAGTACTATACCCCATACATCCATGGTTTGCCAATAGCACTGGAGTAGAAATATCATACAACAATGCTATCTGTAGAGACGTTGTCCAAAAAGACATTTCTAAATCAGCTGAAGTTACTTTTGTTACAACAGGTCCCTACTTTCAGTCACTGGTCTGAGGGTTTAGTTACAAAACATCTGGTTGTCAGAAAGGAGAAGGAGCTGACTAAAGTTTTTATGTTTAACAGAGCTTACTTTCTTTCCAACTGAAGACTTTTTCCAAACTTTGCTGAATTTGGTGAAAGTGAAATCCTATTTCAAGTACTACTTGCAGTAGATTATTACCATAGCTCCCAGAAAAAGGAATGGGGCGGGGGGAAATACAGCACACAAAATAAAGAGAGACATGATTAACGCACATGCCACCATTTACAAAAAAACTAAACTACAATTTGAAGAGGTTTCCTTTGGTTGTAGATGAGCATATACAGAAGTATTTGCTGTCACATGAACTTGGAGCATACAAGAACTGATTTAATCTGGCAGTAATTAAGGTACTAAATAGATTGCGGAATGTTCTGCAGACGCAGATATTCAGCAAAAGACAGACTGTGTGTTAAATCATGTCTTGTGGAGAGAAAAAAATTAAAGTGAAGTCATCACAAGCCAAAAACCTCTAGACAGAAGATCTAAGAACAAGCTCTAGAGGGCCAATTCCTAACTGAGTGGCCACCCCAACATAGCAGGTAGCAGCCTAGGCTCCAGACAATACTGATGGAACTGGCTGCAGGAGCCTCAGAGACAAGGAGAGGTTTAGGAGTGGAAGAAATGCAGAACACAACAATAAACAACTGGCCCTTCAACAATTATCCAATTATGTTTTGAATGCTGCAGCTTGGCTAAGCTCTATTTCTTCTATTCGATTTTTCAGGGGCACAACTGCCAAGCACCCCTGAAACATAGCCAAATGAGCAGATTAAAAATAAAACCTTCTGGTTGTCCTGACTCCCCTCCACTTGTTTTCTGTTAACAAGTCAGATTCACACCTGAAGCATTTCTTTGCATTCTGGAAAGGCAAGAAGCCTAAAAGAGGGATGGCAAGATTGTAATAGCCTGACTCTAGAAACTGGTATATTAAAGAAGTACGATCATCCGATCTGACCAAAGTTTGAGATACATTTGTGAGCGCTGGCACCAAGGTTAGCCCTCGTTCTGCTACAGGGGTCAGCAGTTCTATGTAGCACGTTAGCAGTTCTAAGTCATCATTAACAATACCGTAAAACAAAGCATCTGGTGCAGCTGCAGCACAGACACTGATTTGCAACTGTCAGAATTGTTATGAATTATGGAATGTTTTGACTTTTACAATGTTTATCTGAAGTCAAATGCCAAATCTATTGAAATTTGTGTTTTGTTTCCTGGCAACGTGGAATCCATAGCAATAAAACATTCCAGAGTGATGTAACCAATACCATGTCCATCTGCACTGAAGTGTTTATGCAAAGGTGATACTCAGCTTTCAAAAGACAGCTATCTGAGACACATTCACTTCACAGCCTGCCATACACACCCCACAGCACACTTGCTTTAAAGCTTGCAGGAAAGCATTCACCAGCGCCAGAGATAAACTGGCAGAAAAATCAAGCTGCAGAAAATGAAGAAGAAATTGGATTGCCCTGTTCAGCGCCTACTTCACTAACCAAGCAGTGCCACAGGACAGTCACTGAAATGCAAATCTGTTTTCACAGGAGAGTTAGAATACTTAACACAGCAAAAATACTCTCTTCAGAAAAGCATAAGCAACTCTGACATCTACACTCAAAACTACTGCTGAAAAATGACACAGGTTCTTTTTGGATATTGTTTCTGAAAGGCCACTTACTGAACAGGAGGGTGGAAGAACAGAGGATAAAAAAGAAAAGTCTATGTTAGACGTGAGGCTACTAATATGCCTGTATCCAAAAAGCTTTATTTCCAGATTTCTGTCTTTGACAGCTACTACACGCAAAAGCCAAGCAGACAAGACTTTCTTTTCTGGAATTTTAAAATACCAAGATGTTTTGAGTTCATTAAAAAGCATGCGCACACACATGAGTTGTTCTGTAAGAGAACTGCTGAATTAATGCAAGCCTGTCGAGTAATTTTAAGAATAAAAGTCCATTTTATGGACTGAGGAACAGTGTAGGGCGATACAAGTGTGAAGACACACAAAAATTGGTTCATTGCATTCTTGTATTCAGTTTGAGCTGGACAATGGGGAAAAAAATTGTCACCAAAACCTGCTGCTGCTATTAGATGTAAACACAGAAGAGGTCTGGTCTGCTTCTTTTACTGCAGAATTCA